TCTGGGTTTAAATTCTTCTTTTGTCTTAGGCTATATTAATAAGCCCGTCTCCATTTTGAATGGAGTGTGGCCAGGAATGAGGCTGTGAGGAATGTGGCTCTGTCTATTCAGTAAAGAAGAGGTTAACGGGTTGAAAGACTGGATCAAATAAATCCTCTAAGTGATCCCAGGTTGATCCAAAGTAGTTGATTTGTGAGAAAGAGCACATTTGCCTGACAAGAAGGGCTTGCTCAAAATAGCCTTGTCTCAGTCCTAGCACATTTCCTTGTTGGCTGTCTAGCGCTCTTCTCATTGGAGTGTTGTGCCGACAGCCCCTGGACGTCCCATTGAATCCTGGCCCTGCAAATGGGCAGTCTGGCGCTCCAGCACCAGATCTGCTGTGTCCTGGCTGTGTGACCTCTGCTGAGCTACCTAAACATTCTGAGCCTCAGTTTACTCATTTGTAAAATGGGACTAAGCTCAGCATTTTGCCATCAAAGACACTGGGGGGGCTTCAGCAAGATAATGACTTTATAGCATGTCGTCAGTCATGCACCTCAGGACCCATAAATGGAAGGTCCTACTGTGATAGTTCCCTCTGGAAATGTGTGCAGATCTGGCTGTCCCCGGATGAGGTCCAGGAGTGAGTTTGGCTGGACGGTCATGGTAGTGCCAGTCAAAGCATGCATAGCAATCATTCAGGGACAGACAATGAGCATCTGGATCAGATATCAGTGTTCAGATATCATGTCTTTAGATTTAGGAAGTGTTTGGTCATCCTACTATGCTTCGATGTAACTGTGCCCATCCTCACCAGGACCCTGCCTTCCTGAGCCTCTGCATGGGTGGGACTGACTGATGGTGGGGGCACTAGGGTAGACTGACGGGGTGACTTAAACCAGGCTTCTTTCGTACCCTCTGTGTGTTTTGCATCCTGCCTCCTGGGGTCACCAAGACATGAAAAGACATGTCCTTCAGCCTGATTTAGGTGGAGAGCACATTGATTATAAGTAGGGCCTCAGGAGTAGACTGTCATCAATTAGAATCTTGCCCCTTTGCTTCCTGTTTGTGAGATGTTGAGCAAAGTGCTTTACTCCCCAAGCCTCAGTTTCCCCTACCTTCAACTGGGGATGAGGAAGAGCATGACGGTGCTTCAAAGGGTAGTTATGAGGATGAAATGAAATACTGTATTTAAAACATGTAGCACAGAGCTTGCCTCACAGTAAATACTCAAAAAAGAATGTTTGTTATCAGCTATTACCCGCAGAGCAGAGGCTGGGAGAGTGAAGAAGAGCCCTCGAGTGTTGGAAGCGAGAAGACCCAAGCTTGGGTCCCTTTGCTCTGAGGAGAGTTGGGAGGCCTCACCAAAGGGCCCAGAGACATTTCCTCAGCATTTTCTCTTTTGGGGAGCCCCACACCCACCTGTGTGCCAGGACACATCTATAAGGCTTTCCCTCCAGTGCTCAGGGCCCGGGGAAGTGAGTCTGCCCTCTTCCCTCCACACCCCCACTTGAGTCTAGAGGGTCTTCAAGGTGCCTCATCTACCCCGACACAGGGTGCTCTTCCCATCTTTTCCCTGCAGGCTTGAGGCAGGGGCTGAGGAGTGTGAGGGAGTTCATGGAGATCCACCCTTGTGGATAGAGGGGATGCAGAAGTTCAAAGGGAGGCTAATCGTGCCTTCCAAGAACAGGGATGGGAACAATCCTGTCAGACATGCCCTTTTCTTCTTTTGTAGATGAGAAGCACCCTGGGCATCTGTGCTCCCATCTCAGTTAAAACCTATTTTCCCAGTTCCCCTCTTCTGATGGTTAATTTGTAGTGAGAACAAATCACAGGGGTGAGCCCCCCATGGGGCCTGAGTCTCTGACTCAGGATAACATGGCCCTGCCTTCAGGTGGGCACAGTGAGAACCTGCTTTGAGAAATGGACAGCTAGGTGTCCAGCATCTGCACAGGGAGGTGCAGAGTGCTCACAATCTGTGTGCAGTTTCCCAGTTGTGTCTGCTTCTTTGGGCGGCTCCTGGAGCCACATCTCAGCAACAGAGGCATTCAGAGGTCACACACGCAGGTGTGCTCGCACGCGCGTGCATACACACACACACACACACACACACACACACACACACACAGAGCCTTCCTGGCCCAGGGAGGTAATGCAAATGAGTGAAGCCAGCCAAGTGTAAGACAAATGAGGGGGGAGTGGGTCTGTGATGACCTGCAAACTTATGACTAGTCCAAAGGGAGAGAATTTTCTAATTTTAGAAACACTTCCGCTGGGTGCAGTCTCCTCATGGCCTGTCTACCCCTGTTTGGCGGTGGCAACGCTCTGTCTGTGCCTACTCATGGTGTGAGGCTGAATGTGGGGGTTGGGCAGCAATGGCCCATGGACACCACTGGACATCCTAATGAAACTTCCTCCAAAGGGGCTGGGTGGAGAGGAAGAGATGAGCTCAGCCAACCAGCACCTGTGCAGAGCATGCTGCGGCCATAGCCACCGGGCAGTGCTGCCCCTTGAAGTCCACCGGAGCCTGGTGCACTTGGAACCTCTGACAGCCCGAGATCCCGTCTACAGAGGGGAAGGTGGTCCAGGGAGGAGGCTGCTGGATCGGGAGCTGCCCAGTCCTTGCAGGTCACACTCCAGGTAACCTTGGGTCACATATTTTGCCTAGATTCTAGAGAACACACACTCCTTCCCATGGGGACCAGGGGCCACCTTAGCCCTCCTGGGGTTCTGCAAAGTGATAGCCTCTGTCTCAAGTCTTCTTTCCTCTCTAGCAGCAACGCCCCTATAAATGAGGCCTGGACTTCTCAAAAGAGATTTCAACATAAAAGAGGCTTAAAGGAATGAGGAATTTGCAAATCTTACATGCTGGAAACAGACCAGGAGTTCCGTGATGTTGGAAGAAACTTGAGATTTGCCCAAGAGCACCAAAGCCCCTCTCACTAGCTTCCTGCTTGCCCCCAGCACTCTAGAAAGCTTAAACAAGGTTATTGGAAAGCCTGGCCATTAGAAGGCAATTCATGGCCTATTTTTAGCCTGGATCTTATATCAAAACCAAGCGGGAGGCCCTTCCTTAGCATTAACAGCAGCCCTTTGCACAGAGATAAGTGTTGTGGTTAAGAGGAGCAGTGTGCACGTGTGTACGTGTGTGTGTGTGTGCATCCGCGGCTGCAGAGCCTTCCACGGGCTGAAACTTGTAAACTGTCTTTTGCTAATCTATCACAGGAATAGATACATCTTCAAACAGCTTCCCATCAGGAGGCAGCCTCAGCTCTGGGCAGAGTGTGGCAGGAAGAACATCACTGTGCTCTCTGACAGCTGAAAGGAGGACATTTTACATATTTGGAAACCAAGACCTGGAGAAAGGCAGAGTGGACTCAGGACAACAGTGGCAGACCAGGACTTGAACCCCAGACATGAAAACTCTATTTAGGGTTACCTTCCCCTCCCCAAGATGGGTTGTTGGGGGCCTTGGTGGTCATTCCTTTACATGTAGGTGACAAGGTGGTTCTCACGGAAGTGGCTCCCCACCCAGCGCATTTACTCAGGGCCCTCAGCAGAGCGATTCCAGACCCTTCCTGGTGTCTGCTGGGTGAGGCTTCCTACCCTGGGAAGCAGGGAGCTCTTTTGCCAGAGTCCTGGCCTTTTCAAAAGTCAAAGGATATGGGCTTCCGGCTGGCTGTCCCTCTGACCTGCATTGTGACCTTGGGCAAGGTCACTGCCCCTACTGAGCTCAGCAGCTCTGTTATGTCACAGGAGGGGTGGGATTAGACCTGCAGCAGCACTTCCTGTGCTGACTCACGGCCTTGAAGCTAGAAGAGCCCACTAACCTGGCTCCCTGGGAATGACACAGGTCCCCACTGAGCTCTGAAATATGTCACGTGGGCTTCTCTCAGAAGGTGTACATCCTTGGTTCCCCTTAGCTGTGCTCTCTGTGCATCCTTGATCCTCTAAAACACCTGGCCAACAGGTCCAGTTATCTCCGCTTACAGGTCAGAAAATGCCATCCCAGAGGGGCCAGGTGGCTCTCCCAAGGTCACACATCAGCAAGTGACAGGGCTGGGGCTGGAACCAGCACTGTTTGAGTCTGAGCTGGGGGACATTTCCCACTTGCCAAGACCCATGCGTAAGATTTTGCCCAGTGGTGCGGAAGGACTTGATGGCAGTGAGTGTGTCTTCCTTGTCCCCAAGGGACAGTGGGGCCCAGACTAAGGGCTCAGGATTCAGGATGCCGCCTGCTCACTTCCTCCACACAGATCTTGGCCATGCAGGTGGAATGGGAGCTGAGCGTTGGGGAAATGAGGAGGCAGAACTCAGGATCGCGGCTGCACTGGGTCTGCTCTAATGTCAGTCTGTCTGTCCTCCCGGCAAGTTGAGCAGCCCGGTGATCAGGCTGGGCGAGGGGGAGGAGCCCAGCACAGGCAACCATTTCTACCTCCAAACCCACAGTGCATTCCTGCAGTCAGGCGACAGAGAGGGGCCTGGGTTTCTGGTAGGTGGGGGGTGGGCCAAGGGAAGCCGGGATCCCCATATCCAGCCCTCCAGCTCAGCCTGCCCCGAGTGCTGGCAATTGTCTCTTCAGGAAATGGGGGCTGTGGTTTGAGTAAAACAAGATGAGCTCTGTTGACCATTTTCATGACTATACAGTGAGGCGCCCGATTCTCACATTTGCCTGGTCCTTTACACCTTCAGCCCCCACCTCCACCTCACAATAGCCCTCGAGGAGATGGAGCAGACCCCTTCATGTCACACGAGGATACTGAGGGCTCCCGAGGTCACACGGGTCATGGAGTGCCCAGCAGAGATTCAGCACCAGGCTCCCTGGTCCCAGCCCCAGGCTTATCCACCATACCTGCTGCTGCCCCACAGAGTAGTGCTTCTGGAGGTAGCGGGAAGGGCAGTGAAGGGCAGTTGTGGCCAGATGTGCCCACCTGTGCCTGGCTGGCCTGCTCCCACCCCTCATGTAGCCTGTCTGCTGTGTCCAGCACGCAGAGGACTGCAGCCAGGAGGTGAGGTCTTACCTGCAGCAGTGGCGATGCCCAGGAGCCGGCAGGCGTATTCCAGCCCGGTCCAGAACACCTGCAGCTTCATGGTGCCTGCGTTGAGAAGAGGGTCCCAACAGGTAGGGCAGCAGAGGCTCTGGCCTGGGATGCCCCTGGAAGCTCTTGTGCAGGGGAAGGCTGTGGCTGCCAGCTCAGGGCCCCCGTGCCCGGGGGCCCTGCCTTCCCAAACCAGTGCCAGCCACCACTGCCTGGCCAAGGTGTGAATAGGGCTCACCTTCCCTGCTTGGCCGCCCGTGCCCTTGCCAGGCGCACAGCTTAATCATTACCGTGGAAGAATTCCCCTGCCGCTCTGCGCAGCCCTGGCCTGGCCTGGAGCTGCTGTGGCTCCAGCGCAGCCGCCGGATTAGGGCTGGGCTGGAGGCAGCCTGGAGCTGGCAATTAACCATTTCTGGCTGGGAGGAGGGAGCCGAGGAGCCAGGCCAGGTCCTTCCTTCCTGCGCAGCTCCAAGAAAGTCACACCTGGACCTCAGGCCTTCAGGGTCCAGGAGTGTGTCTGGAGGTGACGATGTGCGTGCAGGTCTGTGTTTGTGTGTGTGTGGAAGAGAGGAATGTATCTTTAAATCAGCAGCAGAAGCAACTTTTGAAATGAGTTCCAAGCTTCTGTTCTTCTGCGTATAGGTGGATTAGAAAGTTTCCAGTCTGTGGAGGATTTGGACTCTGACCAGACATACTGAGCTCAGGCCCACGCCACACATGGATCTTCCTTTCTCCCTGACATGCAACCCTGACATGTGATGTGGGAAATTATCAGGATTCTTTGGGAGGAGGGTTGCTATGTCAAAAATTAACCAGGTGACTTTGGGGAAACTCAAAGATACTTTCGAGCCTTAGTAACTTTGGCAGAAACCCAATGAGAGGGTTTGGCTGGATCAGTGGGTCTCCAGGTGTGTTCTGAGAGCTCCAGCCTCTCAAATTAGACAATCATGGGCTTTTATTAATTCTTAATTTACTAACTGATGTAAAGGATTGAATGATACCAAGTTTTAGTTTTCCTTCCAGGCATTTTTCTGAAATCTTTTATCCCTTTGCTCATATGGGATAGACAGCAAAACAACCAAAAAATTCAGGGGAAAAAACCCCCAAAAGCAAATTCTAATAATAATGGAGAACTCAGGCATGGTCTGTCTTGCTCTCGTCTTTGGTGAGGGTGCATACACCCTCATATAATGAATAGATTTTTTTTGCTATTAAAATTCTAATTTGATTAATTTGAACAAGAATTCATAGCATTCCATAAAGACCATCATTTTTTGAGTCCACCCTTCTGAATGAGTTTAAGAACTTCTGTGTTCATGTGATCCTTAATACGAAGTTTAAAAATGTATGATTTAACATATTTATTTCTTGGGTTAGCTGACTGTGTTTAATAGCAGACTGTGTTTATCAACTCCAAACTTCCCAGTTTTCCACAGGTCTTCATACCTGTGCACCCTGTCCCCCAAATGCTGGCACCTAGGTCTCCGTGGCACACACTGACCTGCACAGATGTTGCTGCTGGGGGCCGGCTGTCAGAGCCCCATGGCTATATGTCTTTTAGGAACCTGTTCCCTCTGTGCTCTTTGGGAAGCTCTGCCGGCCCCACAGCACCCTTTGCTTCTTCTTTGCCAACAGCAGCTGATTTTGTTGTGTATCTGATGATGTCTGTGTGCTCAGAACATGTGGAGTCCTTCCAGGCCTTGGTTGGTGGGGTCTGTTCAGCCCACCAGTCCTGGTTACGGCTCCCCCTTCCTAGCAACTTTGGTTTAGGAATGAGCCTGTGATTCTGGTCAAAATAGCCAGGAAGGGGCATGTGCTGATGTGCTTCTGGGAAAGTGTCCCTCACTTTTAACAAGAGGCCCAAGGATGGGCTGCACTCCCTCCCTTTGGAAATACCTGTGTCAGGATGGGCAACTGTCTTGTGAGGAGGGGGTTGAGGTAAAGGACATAACCAGCAAATGAAGTCTGCGCAGTGAGACAGCGAGCAACGCTGAGCACCAGATGTCGTTATGGAGGGGCTAAATGTATGCGTTCCTTACTGTTAAGCCAGCTGACTTAGGTTTCGGTTACAGCTAAAAGCATTTTGCTGACATGGTGGGTAGTGCCTGACCTGAGTTCTCTCCACAGCCTTTTCCTCAGGAAGCACCTTCCTGTGCACTGGGCTCAGCGTGGGGGAGACAGAGAACAACAGAGGCTGAGGGTGAGGGGTGTTCTTCCATTCCTGAGAGTGCCCCTGCTTCACTGGGGCTGCCTCCTAAGAGAGCTGGAAGAGGGGGCCATTGGGCTGGTGGTGGAAGGATCGTAGGGCTTGTGGCAAAAGCAAAACGTGGAGGAACCCAAGAGAGAGCCCCTCTTGAAGAAACTGCAAAGAAGACTCTGGCCGAGTTTCTGATCCCTCTTACTACCATTCAGCCATTTGTGTAGCTCCATGGGGAAAGGAGAAATCTGGCTGTGCAGACAAGTCCTTTGGATCTCTCAGAATTCAGAGAAAAGACTGCCAGGACCTGGGGGCCAGAGACCCTAAAATAGAAGCTGGCGGAGAAGGTGGTGAAGCTCTCAGACATTCAAGTCTGACCTTCAGTCACTAATGGCCGAGAGGAAGAAGAGAAGGGACATTTCCCAGAGAACTCAGTGGACTGCCCAGGGAGCTTGTGAAAGGCTGAGAAGGGGGCAGAATGAGGGAAGGACAGAGAACGGTGGACAGCTGTGAGGAACCTTCATAGAGCATGGAAAAGTACTCCGAGTAACAAAACGGGAGTCAGATTACACAGCACAGGAAGCAGAGTGCCAGGGGCCCTGCTGCTCCGGACAATGGCGTGACATGGATGTTCCACAGAGAAAGCACGGTTTCAACTTCTGTTGCATTCTAAGGAGTCCAAGCTTGTACTAGTGGGTGGAAGTTATGGGAGGAAGCTTTTAACTTGGATAGGGCAAGGTGTTCTAACAATCAGTTATTCCCCCACTGCTAGGATGGCTGTTGTGGGAGGTCAGGAGGGCCGGGGGGCACACTGTGGGCAGTTCTCAAGCACTGATTGGACAATTCTGACCCGGGAGTCTGTGGTTCTAGACAGCTAGGATTCCTGAAAGAATGGAGACGAGTGCTCTGAGAAGTGCCAGGGACGCCACCTAGAATACAGAGGAAGAGAGCCGGGGTTTCCTACCTTGTCTGGTTCCTCTTCTGCCCATCTGCCCACGGTCCCTGGATGCCCGGCCCGGGCAGAGAGCAGTGTGGGGAGGGGAAGGGCGGAGTGCCAGGCTCAGCTCTGCAGTCACCAGCTGTGTGGCCTGGGGCATTCCTTACCCTCTCTCAGTCCTCACCTCCTTATCTGTAAAATGGGTCTACAAGGTGTCTTACTGGGTTAGAAGTACTGTTTCAAAAACATTCATAGAGCAGATGCCAGGAGATGGGAGCTAATATTATAAATGAACAAAGAAAACTTGACTGCACTGTGGCCAATACAAGGTAGGTTTTGTTACCACAGAATTCCACCCTTTGAACCAACAACACCCCAAACTGGGGGCATAGCCTGGCCCCGACCTCCTGGGGAACCAGGGTGAAGGGGGTAGCTGTTCTTTGGGATGACAGGGCTCATCTGGAGCTTTATTTGCTATATTGTTTCATTTCATCGTACACCAACCTGAGTCCTTGTGTGTTGCAGCCGTAGGAAGGCAGCTTGACTCAATAAACTTACAATAGTCCAAGCCCCTTGGTAATAAAATGTCCTGCCTACAGGGCTGTGAAAACTACTGATGACGTCAGCGACAGTCTAAGATCCAGTGTTTGCTCAACAGTAACTGCATTCCGGGTGCTGTGCTCACTGCTCTATATGCAAGTCTATTCTTCTCATTTACATTCTACAGATGAGGAAGCAGAGTCACATTGGTTAAGTGCATTTGCTCAAGCTCACACATAACAGGAGGGGGCGACGACTCCAGTGATCTCAGCTCGGCCCCTCTGCTACCCCCTCTGGTTTTATAGGTGCCTCCATCATAAAGCTGCCCCGTGAGAGGAGACCTTCCTTGACAGGAGCCCTGGGGCAGATCATTCAGGAGGGCTTCAGGTGGAAATTGGGTGTTGTCTTCCTCACTGCTCCTAGATCTGAGGAGGCAGTGGTGGACTTGGGGAAGCTCTCCACCGTGGTCCCCTGATGGTGGTCCGTGGGAATGAATGCTTCCAGTGGCAGGGCTGCAGCTCTCCCTCAGCCTTGTCTAGGGCTTCTGTGTGTTGCTATAAATGGACGCTTCACAGATACTCCCCACCATATGGGATGGCCATAAATTGTGCACCATTAACAGCAGCACAAAAATTCCATGGCTCTGGGGAGCGTGAGAAGTCAGGAAAAAGTGAAATGTGGATATGTGCTAATCTTCATCCGTTGGGGGTGAGGAAGCTTCCACAACATAGTAGGAAGCTCATGGGCATAGCTCAAAGCAAGTGCCTGGCCCTGGAGACAAATCCCTGAAGCTGGCCTAAGCCTTTGACCTCTTCAGATCCTTCTGTCACCTCACCCCTCGTCTCAGTGTCTGCAGAAGAAAATAGAGACCCTCAGGCCTTCCCTGCCAAACCGCTTGTGTTCCTCCTAATTGCACCCTCTCCCTCACCTGTACTATCCTTCCAATGGAGGAAGACGGGTTAATCCTTGCACTTGTGCTTTCAATCGCTGTCCTTGTGTGTCCTCTGGGACCTGGACCTATGTCTTTCAACTTTTCCCTCCACCTGTCCCTTCTACTCATCTACAGCCCAAAGCAAAGCTTTCCTGAAAGACACTGCTTCTCCCTGCTAACTGCGCATGGTCTCTCCTCCCTTCACCACCTAGACTTTTGAAAGTGGTCTAAATTTACCACTCTCTCCCATTACTTCTTTTTTTTCTGTCCCCTTGTCCATCTATTAAAATGTGGCTTCTATCTGCTTCGACGTCACTATGACCATGCAGGCCTGGCAGCTGACCACCAGATCCAGTGGCCTAATTTCTGTGCTCATTCAGCTCCAACTTTTAGACTTTTTGGCATTTGAAACTGTTAACTGTTCCTTCTGGAAAAGCTCCCTGTGACATTATACATGGTAATCATCCATGTGAACTACATGCATTAGGGTTTGCTTTCCTTCTATTTTCTGTGTGTCCTTTACTGAGTCCTCTTTCTTTGCTGTTTCCCTACTGGTGATTTGTGGTTGGCAGCCTCCAGATGGTCCCAGTGACCCCCTCTCCTGGTATTCACACCTTTGTGTGGTTTCCTACTACACTGTAGCAAGGTTGGTCTGTGTGACTGAATA